AGCACTGAGCCCGAGCTGGTTTGCCGAAACTGCATGCCTGTGGTACGGTTACGAGGCATTGCTGAAGTTACATGCTGGACTTTCAGAACAGGCTGTGCTAAAAACAAGTTTCCAAGATGACTGTCGTCTCGTCCGAGCGAACGGGCTGGAACATCGCGCCTATTTGGCTCGTTACTATCCGAAGCAATGCTTGTTTAAATCTTCATGGCGCATGTTCAATCATATTTAGTCCCTGAGACGAGGGGATGCAAGCTAGCGGTGTTGACAAGCTTACTTGGCTTCAAATATGTCGGTGCAATGGGGCAATGGGACCCCCGCTTGTCATGTCGCCAAGGCATGGGAGTGCACATTACATATAAGTTACGATACATTTAATCGTGTAACTCAGGTCGGCAATGGAAGCGTACGACGCCTCAATTGGCTTGACCAAAATGGGACGGCTTTGGTTACACATGTACATTACGTAAAATTAATTTGCTGTTTTCTGTGCTAACCAGTATGGCGGCTCGATCTAAACAGCTCATCCGGAAGCAGGTGGTGAATATTGCGTTGGATAATTACAATTCCCAGCCATGAATGTCCATCATCACCACGTCAGCCACCTTGTGATAATACGGCCAAATACTTGGCATGTATTGAACGATGAGCTGGAGTGTCAGCGGTGTCCGGTAATGCACTACGTTGTACCGCAAAATAACAATTTAAAACTGCTGAATGAATTTCCAAATCACCGATTAATCTGACCTGTATCGCAGGTAGTCGTACTCCTAATATTATCCAATCACCTAATCGTTGGATATGATTCAATTAAACTGCCGTCTAACCTGTAAACAATAATTTCCGAGAGAAATGTAGCTCATACAGTCTCTTTAAAACACGGTACCACCACAAGTTCAATTTAAAAGCATCACAGGGCAAATAATAACATGCGAACAGCAAAAGGTACATGTCACTCTCATATTGCCAATTCAGGGCTACTGTCATAAACAGGCCGCCCCGCCCAACTGAATCGCTGCTTGGCCAGCTGACCTCTCTGTGGGGTCACGTGCCCTGAGGTGCAGCACTATGGACCGTTGCCCGGCCGGGCAGCCCTGGCAGCGGGTGGATGGAGCGCTTGAGTGACCGACGTTATGCACAAAGCAATAGGAAGGTAGACAAGTGCAAGCTGGCTACCGAGTCGCGTCGGGATTCTACCCCATTCTTGATCTCGCCACGTCAAGCTAAGCGTGGGAGGACACCGGCTCAGACGGGTTAAGAACCACTACGTCCAGAGACTGGTCTGGGCTCTCGTTGTTAGCCATGGTTTGGCCCGGCCGAACGGGAAACCGGATCCGTTTACCATAACGGGCATACCAGATGGGATGGGCGGGATTCTTGGGAGGAATGAGTTATCTTTCTGGGCCTTGACTGTTGTGATGGTCGTCTGTAGTACTCCTGGTGTCATTACGCGATGGACGGCCGTGTGCCGTTGCACACTTTGGGATCCTGTCTTCCTAGAGGCGTGATGGGCGCGCCTTACCTGAGCACAAGGCTGCGTGATTGCAGTCGTGATGGCCCCAGGCTGTTGGGGAAGTCCACTGGGTAGCCTGCACTATCACCTGGCTTCGGCACAGTGTCCACTGCCTTATAGGCCATTGCATCTCCAGGCGATTTTTCTAGGAGCTTTGAGTTACTGTCATCAACAGCAAGGTTGTTTGGCGCCAGGTTGGCCCACTCCACATGACGCATTTCCAAAAAATTGCATATTCAGAAAATAAAAAAAAAATGCCAGTTGTTTGAAATTATGCAAACAAGAAGTGATCAGCTGCTTCTCCGGCATCAGGAGAACCATTTTGTATTGCAAAAAGGTCTCAGATGACTTGGCAGTCATGGAGTGAACTGTGTTTTTGTTGAGGTGTGGTATTCTACTAAATCATTCAAAACGTTAACACTAAGTTGTGTGATGACGTCATCAAACAAGTTGAAATCCTTTTGTTGCAACTCTGTGCAAAAATGAAGTGCTGACCCATTGCTCGGGCATCAGAAGAAGAATCGCTTAGTAAAGACGCTGGCGGTAATCGGTATAAAATGTTAACTTAATCGGTTTAAAAGTGGCTCCTCATTGGGCACTGTTGGCGTTAATGGTCATTTGCTACGGCAACTCAATCTCTCTCACCTTTGCCGTTTCATTTCTCATCGTTCCCTCCGTTGAATTTGTCGTTTCGCGTGCGTTTGCGTCATTCTCGTTATCGCAGAGACGTGATAATCCTGTGCTGTTATCTTAACTAAGCTCCATCACCCTTGGAGCGTCGAAATTGGCACTTCGACCGCGCCAGTTACTGGTTGGTGCGTTCCATCTTCGTTTCCGGCTTTCCGCCTCGGTCGTTGGGGCGTGTGCTCGGTCAAAGTTGACGAGCGTCGATGTGATGTAATTTAAACCTCGGGCTATATGAAACACACTTAGGCAAAAAGCACGTCGGTGCAAAGTGGTAAACAGATTGTCATATGCCTGTGCGACTCATTATTTTGTTTTCAGCTTTTGAGCTGTAAAAACGTTCTGGCGGGTGCAATATTACTTCCAAAAGAAAACCACCAATCAGTAGTGTGCAATCGTACTCTATAACACCCTACACTCCTGAACGGCACTGGTCAGATTTATTATTGATTAAAGGAGATTACCTGGGTAAGACCACCACCCAGCACCAAAACTTTGAGTTATCCAAGGAAGGTGCATATGCCCTGGCCGTGTGACATTGAAGTGATTTAAGTTCAGGCTCATTTAGGAATTAGTAAACTGCGACATAGGAACATGTCTAATCACAACACAAGTTAAACGCTTCCACCCAATCGTATCTAAGAGGTTAGATACGGCATATCTGAAACAGTGCTATTGACAGCCTTTGATTTGCCCACGTACCTTGTGAGAAACAGATAATGTCAGGTTTGTAAATACCCGGAGTGCAAAAGTTACGAGCTAGGCATAGTAGATGTGCGCCATGATTTAATTCTCACAAAGAATTGAAGACAATAAATTAAGTTGCCGTCACCCTAAGTTTCCCAATAAATTTAACGCATGAAATGCGTCATTTCACGCTTCGTCTTCATCTATAACATCATGGACTGCAGCGCCGCCATGGTGAACTTTCGCCGTGGATGGGGGAGGGGGCTCGTCTCCCGCTGAGCCCATGCTGAGGTCAAAACCTTGAAAAGTGTAAAATTCTGCTTAAACGGAAGTTTCTCCAGCGTGTCCGACAAGCGCCAAGAATAGCCCCGCTATAAGCTGTGCAGTTGACGACCCCGTACGTTTGCTGAATGCGTCATATTTTTCGTCTTCGACAGGTATTGCAGCTGCGCACAGGATTTGCTTTCTGCTTAACGCTTAAAACGCCTGCACGAACAGGCCATTACAGTGTAAGAGAGAACACTAGTGGCAAAACAGAAGGGACACGGTAAATTACGTCGGCGTGCAACTTTCCAAGAATCGATCTGCAAATTCGTTTGTTTTTGTTGGCTCAGTCATTTGAAACGAATTACTCACTTTGGAGCCCAGTTGTATAACATTCTCAGACGACTAAAACGAGATCATAACATTTTCAGAGCGTATGATAATGATGTCTCCCAACAGGACGCCTATGTAGTGAGCTACAGAGAGCCTGAGCGCCGGCACCGTTTTAAGTAGACGTGGTTGCCCAAATTACCGGCATGATGTCCTTCCCAAATCCCTAGGCCCGTGGTAGCATCAAACATTTATACATCATCGAATACCTACATTCGATCGCTGATGCAAACTTAAATACAGCAGAGGGTTCTGTGACACTGTTATCTCATCCAAACCTGTCTGCAATATTGAAATTAAACTTTTCGTCACATGCATAGACCAGGGCTGTGTCCGAATGACCGCTGAACGTTACTTGCGGTATCTGGCAGTGAACTTGACTATTCATGCACGTTGGTTTTGAAGGCCAATTTTAGCGGACAGATGGAGAATCCATTTGCTAACGGAAAAAATCCCTCCTTTGGACATGACAGGCGCAAAACGACGGGGGCGAGACCTGGCCTATCGTTGCCCATCGAAACTGAAAGCGCCACGTGATTCAACTAAGCTGCTGTGCTACAAAAACACGTAATACATATTGAAGCCCAGCTAAATATGCTCTTGCAGTACCAGAAACTGTGAGTCATACCCTTGTGTGTGTGTGGTGAGCTACAGTTATCCATGCAGCGTAATGCATTGCCACCCTCTGGTTACTCAGCACCTAAGACAGCTGCGCTCGGCTGCGTGTGGGGCTTCTGGAAAACTTCGCGAAGTGACCCGCGTGCACATCGTCGCACTTCACTGTTGGAACAGCACAGAGCAGTGGATTGTGGGAAAGGGCCGAGGATAGCCGCAATCATGCCTCATTTAAAATAGTTATGTTAAGAGGCTTATCACTTCGGTGAAGACGTAGCTCCCATATGTGCGAACGCTATGATTCCATTCGTCATGTGCCAAAAATTGTAATGTCTGGTCAAGTACGGGTGAAACGTTTATTAATTTCCACATACAGCCACTTCATTCATCACTGGTTATAAACGATGGCTACAAATCCGTGCAAAACCTTCCCCAAAACTTAAATCTCGCTCGGATCGCCCGTCGACGACACCCCGCCGCCGCCGCCGTTCCCAACCCGCCGCGATCGGCCGCCGTGTCGGGCGGGCGGCGCGCCGGTGCCGACGGGGCGGGCCGCACGGCGGCGACGGCTGGCCGGCCGGCCGTCAGTGTCGGCGCCGACGCCCGGGGGTGTCGATAACAGCCCGCCGGCGACGGCCGCCCGCTCCGCCCGCCGCCGTCGCGTCACGCAGCGGCGTGGAGGCCCGCGCCACGAGCTGGCCCGCGAGCGGCGCCGCCGCGCTGCCGCCCCCGCCGTCGCCCGTCGACGACCGCCGGCGCCGAAGGTCGGGGCTGAGGTCGGTGATGTCGGCCGCGCGTGGCGACGCCGTGCCGCCGTGAGCCAGTAGTAGTGGGGCAGGTGCCGGCGGGACGCGCCGTCGGAGACTGTCACGGGAGGCGAAGAGGTGCCAGTCGCCATGCCGCTCGCGCTGGTGTCGGCGCGGCTTGTCCTGCTGCTGCTTTCCTGGAATCTGCCGGCTAATGGTGAGTGACGCCAGGCCTTAACTTGTTTAGTTCAGCTATGGTCGCCGGCTGGCTGTGGGGCCTGCGGGTGTGCGGAACAAATCAGGTCAGCTCCGCGATTGCATTCCGAACAGCTCTGGGCGCACGGCAGGCATATGGTAAGTATTAAGCCAATTTAAGATAACTGATGGGTTGGACGGCCATGAAATAAAGCCGATCTTAGGCTAATGCGCTTATGATTGATTTGGCGAGAATGAAATCTGTCGATTTCACACATATGTCAGACGGTAGATGCCTCAGTCGGTAAGATTGCCTTTACCAAATCCAACTGCTACCCAAGGGTAGCAGTTGGATTTCGACAGATTTCATTCTCGCCAAATCAATCATAAGCGCATAGCCTAAGATCGGCTTTATTTCATGGCCGTCCACACTCAGTTGCTGCCCATTTGCCTGTGCTCATACATAGCTTCCCCCATGTTTACCAGTCGTATCCACTTGCCACTAACCCATCTTTGTTTTCTTACACTTTGACTCCACCCATAGAAGAATTTCAGGGAAGTTTGCATTTAAGCTAAAAGTGTCACTTTTGAACTAGGACTGCCACCCACAGGCCGGCAACGCGCGGGCCTAAAATGGCCTCCGGCGGGTGTTGCTGGTTGCAAGGCGAGCGTTGAGTGTATTTTATGAGTACAAGGCACTAACTCATCTTTTAACTCAGTACAAATGTAGACCTAATTACCTAGCAATTGCTGGTAGCAGTTGTTGAAAGAAAGCTCAGTGTTCCACAACAATGATAAAATAGGGATCTTTGTTCAATTTCGTTTTTTTCAGATCTGCAATGCACGTCAATTTATAAACAAATAAGGTATGTTGCAGCATCAAGGGCGGGCTGCCTTGGCTTAAAGCTGTTCTTTTCACAACCATGCATCATTACTTGCGATGCATTCTGAGAGAACGGAATCCTTACACAAGAGCAAGAACCATACAGGATATAACGAAAAGTGGTGATAGAACTTCCAGTGGTGTAACTTCCTGTTACGTTGCGGGAACAGGGGAAGAGCTCTCGCTCCGAGCTTTGAGAGGTTGGCCAAAGACAGGAAGACGTCGTCCTTTTTGAGCATTTTGGGGTAGGATTACTTATTTTCCCTGCTCAGCCAACACCAAACTTATTTTACGAAACTACGCCCCCGGATACTGCATGCCTTTCACCAGTCATTGCAGGCCATGAGAACACACAATGGTAGGCGCTTTCCTGACGGGTACAACTACGCATCTGGAAACACAGGACGAATACGCCGTTCATACCCATGTGTGACCTTTACGTGGCATAGAAACTATCTCGTGCGCCATGTTGCTTGAGTTGTATGTGTAGTCAAGTTGAAATTGATGAGCAGCCATCATTCAGGTGCCTGCTGAAATGGCACCAGACACCTGAATGTAACTGCAGTAGATGTTGGTGGTATCTATGCCGTTGGTAAGCTTGTCACTGTGTTGTCTATTGGTTATGGTTAATGTTGTATATAGATGTGCCCAGCCATATGTTTTTGTCAGTGTATGTGTCATTATTTCTTTCTGAAATTGACAATTTGGCCTATTTAAAGTACCTTATACCTTTGGGCCTTGGTTCGTAAATTTTTGGTTACAAAAATCATGTGTGTATATATATGTGACTAAAAAGTACTAACGTGCATCGAGGTTACGTTAATTTCAGTCATGTTTTCTTCAGGTAAAATTAGATATGACTGCTAATATCTTTTCTGTTGAGGCATGATTATTATATTATTTTGAAGATCCTTCAGAAGAACCGTGAGGACTTTTCTTGGACAAGGAGTGTCTAGTGTCGGGAAAAAAACCATTGTATGCCTAGGTCCCTCAGAAATCCTTTGAATTGAATCAACGCTCTAGATGTTTAGATAAGTAATATTCGTCCAGTTTTAGTTAACAAGATAGCTTAAGGTTAGCCATGAAAAATGCAATTGGAGATCAAGGTTTTTAGGCCTCTGAACACGGGCGTTATCTTATACACTTTCGGGGGGGTCCTGAGCTGTTCCCCCCTCACCTCCCAATGTTGACTTGAGCCCTCCCCATAAATACTCAACTGAGCTCCCCCATTGAATGCATATGAGCAAAAGAGGAGTACTGTGCCAAAGAAGTGAAGAACAATATTCGTAACTATTGGTGCAATCGATTTCTAGACACGTCGCTGCCGATACAATGCTCATTTTATACTAGATAACACACTGAAGGTATCTAAACGTTTTGCCATACCAACTCATTCCTGTGTTAAGTCAGTCTGCAAATGTTTTACAAGCTTTTCACACAATAGCGTGGTTTGGGATAAAGAACAATTTACTGCAACATGCGGCTGGATTCATAAGTATAGGTAGCCCAGATAAAAGCTTATCTATGTTTGTCCCAACAGGCTAAGTGTATTTGTCGCACGATCGTGACTGGCGGCATTCGAGTGACAGCTGAATGCACAAAACACGCCCAGCGACAGCCGCAGTCATCAGTAATTCCACAGCCGCCACCTCGGGACAGCAAAAGGTGCTCCAGACGGCACCCTGGGGGCCCAGGACGCGGCAACAGCTGAACCCTCTGCAGGCAGCTGATTGTCCGGTCGATTGTCCGCGGCGATGCGGCCCATCCTGAGTCTGAAGAAGAACTTAGGGTTACCCGACTGCATAAAGTCGAGGGCGACAGGTCAGGCAAGTGAGAAGCCCAGGCCAGTCTTAAGCTTGCGTGCATTCCAGTGGGATCCTTCTCGAACGGAAACAGTGAGGCTGTGCCATGTGCGGTGTTATCCCGTCCCACCGGAGCCACTCCTTGTTCCGATCGATCCCGTGAAGTCACCTCAGGGCCGCTCAGTATGGTATCAGAGCGGCAGTGATGTGGCTCTTAGAGGTGGTGTTGACAACATGCTCGTTCTCTTCGTCAGGGGCATTTTATGGTAAGTCATGGCTTAAGGAACGTAAGATGACTGATGACTGTCATTGTTTTTTGTATTTTGCAATTGAATGATTGAATAGGCATTCGAATGTCACTGCAGTCTTGTTTGTGCTAGAAATTCAATTGCGTTGCGCCGAGTAAAACGTACGTTGAATTTTACCCTGGCTGCCATGCGTAGACGGTGGTTCACAGAGACACAGTCTGTTTATTCTGCTTTTCCACACCTTTGCGAGTTTGATGCATTGCTAAACCGAGAGCATGTAGCACAATCTGGCGATCCCGCGCCTTGCTCAGTTTATCCGTTCTCACCGAAAAGAAGTAAGAAAGAAAATGGTTCGGCACGTCCACGTTTACACGATTGGGTATCGGAAGATAGGCGCTCCGCTCTCCCCAGTTGTGATACAAAGACTGCTTTCTTAGTGACGCTGGCGTGCGCCGAGTTGTAACAAAGTTTGATTGCGGTGGACATAAGTTTCTTCAAGTCTTATTCCGAACGTTTGTTTGGATGTATTTCTGGGATGAGCACACACGCTAAACAATGTTTTTCTTCGTGGAGCGCCGACTAGATCGTAAAATCCTGGTCAACAGCAGAGTTTTGCGACGAAGGCCTCACGTGCGTTAATGTTTGACATAGTCCTCCCCTATCCCTGACGTTACCTGACCGTTAGTCCGGTCGATGCCACAGACAGGGCGTCACGGAATGTTTGACATAGTCCTCCCCTATCCCTGACGTTACCTGACCGTTAGTCCGGTCGATGCCACAGACAGGGCGTCACGGAATGGAACAAACACATCTTTTTGCGGTGTAACTAATTTCTGTCTAGGAATTTGACTATGAGCTCTGTTTCGAAACCTCGAGTCTTTCCCAGTGTCATCAATTTCATTTTTTGTTACGTTGAACTGCTGTCTCCTGGTATACTGAATTGATTATGTTTATGTTTGATTATGGTGTTGACTGATTGTGTTCGGGGAATGGGTTGGGAGCTCCGATCCCATCCCCCGAAACACAACAATGAAGCCCTTCTTGGTTATATCAACTTCCAGCACGTGTCAAAGTGTTCACGCCATTCTTCAAGGCGGCCACTTGGGAAACTTATTTGGTCACCAGTGTTTACATGCTCAGTCCCTCCAGTTAGCAGCATGTCTGGTTAAAGGGTCGTTCAAGCTCAGTTTTGCTTTCATATCTAGGTATATCGCGGAAGTGTACTCAAAAATTGTCCATAAGCTCTGCGCCTTATACAGCGCCCCGTTTTTGTACTAAAACTGTATGTGTGAGCACCCGGAATGGCAAATAAAGTTGGCGAGCTTGTGCGGGCTGTTTGAGGAGCGTTTCTTGTGACGCGGGGAGGGTTTCAAAATTTAAGCGGCGGGCGCGTGTGGTTATTCGTAGTCTCAAAAGGTGTAATTTCCGGTTCATACTAACTATTTTTGTTGATAATTGTAAAACGATGGAAATGTCTATGCACATTATGTTCAGACTGTTCACTCGCGGAACGTTTCATGGCCAGAATGTTCGCAATGTTCATTCACGGAAACCGATGGATTAACCCCAATCTAGTTGTGACTTAAAGAAGCGCGAGCTGTGACATTGCCTACCGCTGCGTAGGCCCTTTACCTGTCCTTTCGCAAATGTCCTAACCAGTTTGTATCCGACCTGTACCCAAACTCATAATTTGTTTCGAAATATGTACCTGACCGAGCCCGCGGGTACCCATTGTAATATTGGTATCCATAGGCTCATCAGACCCGGCATGACCTCTAGAAGGCAGGCAGCTTTTACCAGTATGAACGTTGACTTTATTGCAGATGTCTACGATATGGATTGTGATGCGGGGCATTTTGTACTTCTCGTAGAGGTATTTCCGTTAACCGAAGACACCCGTAATATTAATGGCGTCCCCGAACAGACTGTTGGCGCTTCACGCAGCGTCGTCCACTATGTAACACTCTTCGCCACTTTGGAGAATATCAACGTTAGTTCCCTTATAGGAAAAATAGGCTTGCTAGTCCACGTGTGGTTTGCTCCAGTGTGTGTAGCCATTGCCGTGAGATAAGTAAGGTAGTTATGGAGC